AAAAAAAAAAAAAAAAAGATAACATGCCAACTCTTTTTAAATACTTTTCACAAAGAAGCCCCTTTTCTACCTTCTTCACCTCAGTCTCTGCTGTTCTACATGGGCCTGTGCCATGCTCCAGCCCTAACTAGCTACTTGAAGTTCACCCAGTGAGACTAAAAGAAAAGCAATGAAATTTTCACATAATAATTGGGAGTCACAATGAAAATCATCAAGATGTTCCTGGGTGTGATTTCACAAAGGGAAATACTAAAGATCTCAAAGTGAATACCAAATTACACAACTTTATACAAACTCTGCATCCCCTTTAAAAATTTTAATTTGAAGTGGATCCTTATCATTAACACTAGAAACAAGTTTGAATGGGAGCCCAGGTAGAAACTGGCATTATAAATTGTTTTGACTTTACATTAAGAATTACTAATATATCCTTTGGAAAAAAAAAAAAAAAAACTCTTACAACTCTATAGTTTAATCACACCAAGAAGTAAAAATAAAAAGAGCTAAGTCAAATCATTTAGTCTGTTAAAAGAATAAACCTTTACAAATAGCATTCATTCTAAGATTCCAAGGCATCTTGGTGACAGAGCGTCTGTTAATGTATTTTTTTTCATTACTGCATGAGAAAAGCAAAAGTTGAGGTAAGTATTTCTATCCCTGTCATATAGATAGTCAACTGGGGCTTAAACTGGAATTTGTACCAGAGCAGATAGTTAATAAATGGCAGTGCTGGAATTTGCTCCCAAGCTCCTAAGCCATTGCTTTTAGCCACCATTTTACTTGTCTCTATAATTTTCAGCTTAGCCACAATCAGGTACTATGTACATGTGCCCATGTACACACACACACATACACACGTACACGCACACACACAAACATGCTAGGGCCTTGTAAGTAAAAGCAATTCTATGTAATTGTCCAGAGACAAACTAGACGTGATCCTTATAAGATAAAACTTGTAACTGAGACCAAAGAATAGTTCATTTTCATCAAGAATTTGCGGCTTGCTTATAGATAACCACCCTAGGTCAAGACTGATAGGCATTTAAATTCCTTTGATAATATTTTGCACTCCCTTCATAAAAGAAATTTAACTAAGTATTGCCAATATCCAGGCCAATATAGAAAAAGAATAAAGCTCCTGTCTGATCTAAACTCTTGGTCTAATACTTACTAGAAATGAACTGAATCACTGTTTAGTCTATTTTTTCCTCCCTTCTTCTGGAAAGTTCAGGGAACTATCACTCATGTCCGCTTCAGTCCTGTGTTGACTATACCTCCCAGAACACGAGCACTGGAACTGGGAAAAGCACCTTTGCCTTTCTGGTCTAGAGGTGCTGGAAGCAGGAACCTCGCCCGAGGAAGGAGCTGGCCTACAACAGGGAAGAATAAAGCCAACACCTACAGAAAAGAAGAGATGAGACACAGAGGATCCTCAGAAGTTCCAGGAATATGGTACTCCAGGAACTGGATGCATCCCCAGGCT